ACAGCCTGGCTGGTCCCCATTCCTCTCTTGAGAGCTCATTTGTGCCTGGTTAGTCCCCATTCCTCTCTCCTCAGTGTTGAGTGTCTGAGCAGTTGTGGCACAAGGGTGTGAGGGCATGATGATCATTTACATATTCTCACCTGCCTGCCTGCCTGATTGCCCCTAACCCCTCTGCCTGCCTGCCTGCCTGCCTGCCTGATCACCCCTAACTGCTCCCCTGCTGGCCTGATCACCCCTAACAGTCTCTGCCTCACCCTGCACCTGGGACCCAGGTTCCCTCCTCCAGCCAGTTGCAGGCACCCGGGACCCAGGCTTCCCTCCCTCTGGCTCACCGCAGGCACCCAGGACCTGAGCTGGCTTCTCCTGGGATGGCCTATGCTGCCAGGGACCTCAGGACAGGCAGCTTGTCCCTCTCCCGGGCCATTGGTGCAGGTGCTGGCACCTGGGACCACAGGGGTGTGTGGCTTGTCCCTCTCCCAGGCCACAGGTGCAGACGCAGCACTGGCGCCCGGGAGCATGGGGCAGACGACTTGTCCCTCTCCCAGGCCACAGCCTAGCCGGTCCCCATTCCTCTCTTGCGAGCTCATTTATGCCTGGCTGGTCCCCATTCCTCTCTCCCCAGTGTTGTTTGAGCCGTGGCGGCGTGACAGCGTGACAACATGATGACCATTTGCATATTAGCTCCTTATTATATAGGATATATATTCCTGGCCAATATATATATATTGGTTGGCCAATGTTGCTCAGTAGTTGAGCATTGACCTATGAACCAGAAGGTCACAGTTTGATTCCTGGTTAGGGCACATGCCCAGGTTGCAGGCTTGATCCCCATTAGGGGGTGTGCAGGTGGCAGCCAATTACTGATTCTCATCATTGATGTTTCTATCAGTCTCTCCTTCCTTCCTCTCTGAAATCAATAACAACACATTTTTTAAAAAACAGAAGAGACATTGGCCCTCCTCAGGGCACACTGTACCTTTTTCTCTGACAGCATTGACCAATTTATGTTATTATTATTATTTTTTATTTCAACAGTGTATTGCCCAGCCGGTGTCGCTCAGTGGTTGAGTGTCGACCTATGAGCCAGGAGGTCACAGTTCAATTCTGGTCAGGTCACATGCCCAGGTTGCAGGCTTGATACCTAGGGCTTAGAAACATCGATGAGAGAGAGACATCGATCAGCTGCCTCCTGCACATCTCCCACTGGGGATGTGCCCGCAACCCAGATACATGCCCTTGACCGGAACTGAACCTGGGACCTTTCAGTCCGCAGGCCGACGCTCCATCCACTGAGCCAAGCCGGTTTCGGCAATAAAAAATATTTTAAAGAAATGTATTGAGTGGCTTCTGTGTACCAGGTACTGACTAGGTGCTTAGAAAAACACAAGTGAATAAATGAGACTCCCTGCCCTCATGAACTGTGTGGGAGGAGGAGGGAGACAGATCATTTGGGAGTAAACAAATAAATGAGATAGTTTCTGCTACGACAAGTGCCCCCCCCCCAAAAATAACTAAATAAGCAAAGCAATAGATTGGTGACTTGGGAGTAACCCCTTTAGCCAGGGCAATCCTGGAGGGCCTCTGTGAGGAGGGCACCTTGGCGTGAAGACCTGCATGCCCAGAATGTAAGATTTGCCTGTCGCCCTGACCTGCGGTAGCAGCTCCGTGAGGGTAGGGCCCAGTCACCCCGGGGAACTGAGGCAGGACAGGATTCCATAAACTCTGGAGACGACTAAAGAAACGGGTGAATGGCCTTTGGAAATGAATCAAGTGTTCAAGTCCCGCCCACTTTGCTTCCAATCCTCCCATAACAAACTCAGCTGATGCTTCATGATGGTTTCCTGGGTGTGCTGATGGGAGCAGGGAGGAGTCCGTGCCAGGGACTGTGCACCAGTCATCTGTGGGGGCAGCGACCGTGTGGTCACCGCTATGTTCCCAGCCCAGCACCCGACCTGCCATCCAATAAACGCTCAACAAACTGGTGTGCGAATGGGGGCACAAGAACCACCTGTGCTGAATGGAAAATTTCTGTTGCTCATAGGGTCGGCTTACGTTTCTGTTCCAAACGCCAGGCTAAGTGGAGGTGCAAGAACAGTTGCTAACTTTGCCTGGACTCAGTATCATCGCCCCACGCCTCCCAGTCCCACTCCTGGCACAGGAATATTTACACGGAGACAGTTCCAGGGAGAGGAAATGAACCCTTCTTCCCACGTTTTTCAAACAAAATCCCAAAGCCATTTCGGGAGTGGGGTCTGGAAGATGGAGCTGGCCTTGGGTTATGGGCGTTGGGTGAGGGCTGAGCATGGAGACGCGGCGAGCTTGCGACTGCAGCTTTTGGTGGGTGAAGGGATGCCATTGGATTTCACAAGCAAACGGAACCATTTCCCCTACATGTCAGCAGGCTTCTTTGTGGGGATGTAACAGCAGAGGAGAGGAGAGTTCCTCTGGCCTTAGAGGCTGGGGCGGCGACAGGGTGACGTCTCTTGGGTTCCAGTGGCCCCAGGAAGGCCAGCTGGTACCAGGTGACTCAGAGCCAGCCCGGCTCCTGCTGTACAGGACCAACTGGTGTTGGGTGGGCCCAGACACGGGACACAGTGGGAGGAGGGAAGGAGGAAGAGGTGCAGTGATGCTTCAAGGAACTTCCAAGTGGGGTGTGGGCCCTGTGATGCTCCCCTCGGCTCTGGGGTGTGTGAGGGGGTAGGATGGGGGACTGCCCAGCGCTTTTCTCCCCAGGACACAGAGTCACACACGTTGTCACCAGGAGCTGTTTGCAGATCATGACGTTATCGGAGGACTACATGGGTGGGATTCGTCCATTGCTAGTGGGACTGTGGTACTTGCGACATCTTCAGAAAAAGAGCCTGCTAAGGCTGGCTCAGGATGAGGAGTGATATTTACCTGTGTGAAATTACACGCCTCCGTTTCCAAAGTCCCACATCCCTTAAACTGGTTCTGGAGAATATCCAGCGAGGGCTTCAGTAGAGCTAGAAGAGAGAAAAAGTAAAAATGAGTCATTGGGCCCTGACTGGTTTGGCTCAGTGGATAGAGCGTCGGCCTGCAGACTAGAAGGTCCCAGGTTCGATTCCGGTCAAGGGCATGTACCTGGGTTGCAGGCACATCCCCAGTAGGAGGTGTGCAAGAGGCAGCTGATCGATGTTTCTAACTCTCTATCCCTCTCCCTTCCTCTCTGTAAAAAATCAATAAAATATATTTTTTAAAAAAAAATGAGTCATTGGCATTCCCTCGGCTGGCAAAGGTATTTTATGAAGTCTTAGCAAACTTACTGACATTTTTTGGAAAAATATTTTTATGGATTTCAGAGCAGAAGGGAGGGAAGCATCAATGATGAGAGCGAATCATTGATCCACGGCCTCCTGCACGCCTTGCACTGAGGATGGAGCCCGCAACCCCGGGCACGTTGCCCTGACGGGGAATTTGAACCGTGACCTCCTGGTTCATAGGTCGATGCTCACCCACTGAGCCACGCTGGCCGGGCTTAGAGAGAGTTATTTTCATGGAGACAGGCATTCAGTAAAATTTACAGAGTCAGTAAACCACAGGTGACTGGAGTTAGTCTGATCGGCTTAGGTAAGATTCATTCCTCGGAATTGGTATTTTAACCCTTTGTTCGCCACAAGCGTCTGTAGATGCTTTAAAATCTTTTTTTTTTTTTCCATGAGAATTTTCAACGGAAAATATTCAAGGACACCCGTATTGTGAGTAATATATTTATTTTTTATACTATTCATTGCAAATTGATTTTTAAAAAATTTCAATTAAAAATATCTTGATGTGTGGGCATGGTCTCCGTGTTGGACGCGTGGCAGTTAACTGGTTAATAGATTATTTAGATAAGCTTATTGGAAACTAGATATTATCATTACAAAGGCAGACAGGTCTTTTGTATTGTTTTTTTTTTTCTCAATCCCTGGAGATCTCGCTGCCCGGGAAAGTCCTCAAAATTTTGAT